AGAAGGCGGCGGGGAGACCTGAGTGCGGCCTGTCAATACCTGAAGGGGGCCTATAGGAAAGATGGGGAAAATCTTTTTAGTAGGGCCAGCTGTGTCAGGACAAGGGGTAATGGTTTTAAACTAAACCAGGGTAGGTTTAGACTAGATATAAGGAAGAAATTCTTTACAATGAGGGTGGTGAAACCCTGGAACAGGTTGCCCAGAGAGGTGGTGGAGGCCCCATCCCTGGAAGCATTCAAGGCCAGGTTGGACGGGGCTCTGAGCAACCTGATCTAGTTAGCGGTGTCCCTGCTCCTGCAGCGGGGTTGGACTAGATGACCTCTAGGGGTCCCTTCCAACCCAAAACTATGATTCTATGATTCTAAGATGATGAAGGGAATGGAGATCTGATGTACAAGGTGAGGCTGGGAGAGCTGGGACTGTTCAGTCTGGAGAAGGCTTAGGGGGATCTTATCCATGTGTATAAATACCTTATGGGAGGGAGTAAAGAAGCTGGACAGAAAGTATTTTCAGTGATATTCAGTGCGAGGACGAGAGGCAATGGGCACAAACTCAACTACATGAAACTTTGCACGAACTACATGAATGTAAGAAAACTCTTACTGTGAGGGTGGTCAGACACTGAAACAGGTTGTCCAGGGAGGTTGTTGAGTCTCCATCCTTGAAGATAACCAAAACCCAGTTGGCCACAGCTCTAAAACAACCTGCTGGTACCTGACCCTGCTTTGAGCAGAGAGTTGGACTCTGTGGAGTTCCCTTCCCATTTCAATCATTCTGTGATCTTAAATGTTAACAACTCATAGGCTGATCATAGCATGGAAGTGTCCAAAATAGTCCAAGTTCTCTGGAGAATATGATGTTAGCCAAATTCTGCTCCAAACTTCATTGGTGTGGTTCCTGTTGACTTCTATGGAAACTATGTACACCAGCTGCTCTATTTCTGCAAATAACCAGGAAAGATTTATGGCAAAAAGTGAGAACTATTAGATTTCCAAATTCAACTGCCTTTCTAATATGCATGTGGAAATGACTGTACTTTTATCTTTTAGTACAGTAGAAAAGTTGGCATTGCTTTCTGTTTTGTAGTAGCTAGATACTAAATGTCTCTCTTCTGCTATTCCCTGCAGTATTACTGCAGAGCACTTTTGAACAAAAGTTGCCTTCCTTATAGTACAGGAGAGGTTTATAGTGTGGTTGTAGTGGTTAAAGGTTGCAGAGATCAATGGTAGAAGGAGCTTTGCTGAGAACTGTGACATGTTCCAAAAGCTTGATAGCTTTTGGAACCATTGTGATAGCAGTGTGGTGAATGTGGAGTGCTTGAACTTTTTTCCTTACTCGGAGATAAACCATAAGGCTGTTCTGAAACTAATTTTAAATGCTTTATGGGAATTCATTCCTACCAATTAGACTGCTTGACAGGTTTCTTTTCAAAGGTAATGGTCATAGGTTATGTTTGCTCATAAGTAACAATTCTGAAGTAACAAATTCCTAAATAGCACCAGATATCAATAATGATAATAAAAGAAAATAATTACCGGACTTCAGAGTGCCTATGTTTGAAAGAGTGGAACTAATTAGAAGTGTGTTGATGGCTTAGTTTGTACATCCATAACCTCTTTACTCCGCCATTTTGAATTATTGGCCTACAGCCACATATTCATTTATAAGGAACTGATCACAATAATGTCTCTCTTGACAGTTCCAAGGCTATCTGTCTGGGTGGCTCTATGTTACAAGTGTCATCCCTTGGACATGAAAGGTGATGTAGGGCTACATTATTTTGACCTGTGTAATTCCTAAATATTAGTATAGAAAAGTGGTACTGTGTTACAGTTGCATCCCCTATTTACTTATACATAGAAACAGTTGTGAAGTTAAAATAAGCCACAAACTCATTTCTATGACAACCAAAAATATGGTCAAAATATGGCTTTTCTGGCATGGCCTACATCTGTGGTACAGAAGTTTTCATCACATACTGGAAGAGAACATTTTTGCATTTTTTCCCTATAGATCAGTGTTTTTCTTGTTGTTAGTGGCAGGGCTTTTCAGACAAGGCATCTTTTAACACTAGCAGGTCAGGTATGCTCGAAAAAGCCAAGAGCTGCAGAAAGAAGAAACTACCAGACAATTCCCATGATTTTTAACTGAAGGCTGCAGCAGCACGCCAGCCAGTCTGAACATAAATTCTGTCAGAGCGAGAGTGTAACAGAGACACGGGAGGGCTTAGTATATGGGTAGTAGAAAAACGACTTGCTATTCTTGTGTCTCAGTGAATTTCCCCTACAACCTGCCACTGTCCAGAGCCCTGATAAGAGTTGCAGTGACAGAAAGTGACTAGAAACAATTATGTACTGACCCAGAAAATACTGAGGGAGTGAAGAAAGAGACCAACTGGACTGTCCTACAGAGCAGCAACTTTCCTGAGTGATTTCATCCTGAGGTGCACTGTTACCATTGAACCTGAGTTTGGTTCAATGGAGGAAAAAAAGGCATCTACAAATAACCTGTTAGCTCCACCAGTTCTTTCTCCCACTGTTTTGCTGCTAAGATTTTGCTTTTCTTTCACACTGCTCATTAGTTTTACCCAATTACAAATGAAATGTCAACAGGATTGCTTCTCCCCTTCCCATAAAGCCAGGAAAAATTACCTCTTCAAGTCCACTGGACTTTGCCTCTGCCTGTTCCCAGACTCCTACTGCTCCCATAGAACTGCTGTTGTCATTGTCTTCCAGCTGAAAGGTTAAAGAAACTGGAGTAAGTGACTGTGGAAAGCAAGCAAGGACAGTTTTAGAAGTGAACTTATGCATAAGCAGGGAAAGTACCAAAGAGTTGGCGTAGAGTGCCCAGAGAGATCATGGAATCTGTTTGTGGAGATATTCTGATTGCAGTGGAAATTCATTGTATTTGGTGACCTCCTGAGGTCCCTCTCAACCTGAATTATCCTATGAGTCTGAAAGAGAGGGACAAGATGAAACAGGAATATCATAAAATGAAGAGGAAGGTAGTCATAGAGCTAATCAGAACTTTTAACATTTCTGTGTCCCCCCTCCCCCCACAGTTATTTTGGTTTGGAATTAGATGTGGCCTTAACGCAAACTTTTGGGTGGCATAGGAAGAAATATTATGGTTATGCTCATCACTGCAGTCATGTGCAGTTCTCTCAATAGTATTCACCTCTTAATGGAGACCTAATTCTGTTTCTCTTTCTGAATGGACAGCCCACAGAGAAGCTGTAGGAGTTTTTCCCTCCATCCATAATTA